AGTACTGTCAGTGCTCTGCGTGCCTGCGCGCCTGTTGTGAGCACTAGTGCAAAACAAACAAAGCGAGTGCATTTTGCAGACAATTTGGAGGAGCGGCAGTTTTACGATCCTGCCATGCGCGTCATTCGTTTGGAGAGGATGCCCCCCATACATTCAGTGCAGGAAGCTGCGCCGCAGCGAGCGGCGGAGTCGAGGTTTTACGTCCAGAGAGGAACACACGTGGTTGGGCAAGTCGGCCACGGCACCTCTCAGACGCCTGTTTTTGGCGAGGGGCTGCCCTCGCGTACTTGTGATAATTCGAGCAAGCCGGATGACGGCTGCCACGCTGATAATGTTCTAGCGTCGTTCACAGTTGTGCAAGATGCGCGGGGTGATAGCCTTCGCAACCAGAGTGCCAGCGCCGAGCCAGCCGATCTCGGGGGCCTGAGCGCAGCTGACGGAGGGGGAACGGGGCCCCACGTGCGCGGGGAAGGGATGCCCAGCAGCGAGGTGCACACTTGCCCCCTTGGAGTCCGAGACCCCCTTCTCCGGAGAGCCGCCCCATGGTTGAGTCGCCTTCAGTTGCAGTCTGACTAGGAGGGGGCCAAGCTGCATCGCACTGCCAGTTCTGCTTTGAAGCTCGCCCCCGCGAGAGAGATGAGTCGGATCGGGAGCGTCGTCCTGCGCCCTGACGGGCCCCTGTCGGTTCACGCGGGGTTAGAACCAGCGTGGGGGCTTGCGGTTGTTGGCCAGGACGTGAACGGCTTCGCTTTTCTCGGATTCGCTGGACAGAAGCTTGAGGGGTCGATTCCAGGGGAGCTCATAGGCAGTAAAATGCCGAGCACTGTTGTGGAAATGGCTGGAATGATCTGGGCGACGCTATATGCCTCATGCTTCCCAGCCGACGTTCATGTCACCATCGAGGTTGATAATAAAACGGATCTCAAGCTCACAGTCGGCGAGTACAGATCTAAGGAAAATAAGGCCCTGGCAAGGGTCCTCAATCTGCTGTATGAGGAGTGCTGCAGGAGAGGACGGATTGCGCGCAAGCTTGTGCGAGCGCACCGAGGCCAGCCATGGAATGAGATGGCTGACTGTATAGCTAAGCATATGTCTAAGCACCCGCCCTCCGACCCCCAGGTGAGCTCGCGCAGTTGCTCAGCTATGAGCGAGGCCGAGAATGGGCGTGGGATGTGTCGCCGAGCAATCCTGTCCGACACGCCTTATCCCCCGATGGGGGCCAGCGGATTCGACTTCCACCGTGAGGCCCCAAGTGGCCAGATGGAGCATCATGATCAGAAGTGCGGAGAGAAAAAGGTCAAGGCCCGAGTTGGCTTCACAGCGGCCACCTTCAAGGTGCTCACTCGAAAGGATGAGGAGGAGGGGTGCTGTAGGAAGAAGGCCGCCAAAAAGAGAGAGGCGGCGGTGGCCAGAGCTGCGCACCACAGAGCCCAGTTCAGGCAGTTAGGATGGCTGTTCGTGGGGGCGCAGGAAAGCCGTACGCCCGAGCGACGCAAGGTCGCGGAGGACTTCCTGGCCCTGTCTTCGGGACCTGAAAAGGGGAGTCTCGGGTGCGAGCTCTGCGTCAATCTGCAAGCTGTGTACGCGAAAATTGGCGAGGTTGAACATCGGATCCAAACCCAGCAGGTCCGTGTGCTGTATTCTGACCCCCGCGCCCTCATCGTGACTGCGCAGGCCAAGTTTTTCGACGAAGATGTTGCTGCGTTGCATGCCCCACACAGTAAGCACAAGCCGGAGGTGCGCACGGCGCGGTGGGCTCACGCACGCCAGTTGATGGGGCGATGGAAGCCGACCATCCTGCTTGCTGGTGCGAATGCCCGCGTCGGCAGCGTTGAATGTGAAGGGGCGTGGGGGGGGGGTCTGCAGCAGAAGGAGGATGACAACGGAGGAGACTTTCGGGAGTTGCTTGATATTGGGGGCCACGTGGCTCTCAACACGGTCTTGCCTCACGAGCAGGGGTACACTTGGGTTTCGCATGCTGGCACCAGACACTGGCTGGACTCTGTGACCACCAGTGTGGCTTGGCGGCAGTACGCCGAGAAGGTCTGGGTGGATTGTGCTTTTGATCCGCAGCGGCTCAAGGATGATCACTTCCCTGTCGCTTGTAGGTTTGAGTATCAGGTGGTCAAAAAAGTCAAGACTCATGGGGCCCCCCGCATGGATCCATGCAAGTTGTCCGACCCTGAGGTCAAAGGTGCCTTCGCTCGGGAGCTCAATGAGCGGCGAGTGCGCGCGTGGGAGGTCGGCGCTGAGGAGCATAGCGCGGCGGTGACTGAAACCATGTTGGACGCCGCCAAGAAGCACTTTGGCCAGGACCCCTTTTACCCCCTTCAAGCCGTATGTCAGTAGGCAGGTCATGGGGCTTGTTAGGCCCCGCAGGTGAGGGGTCAAGGTTATCCGAGGGGTTAGACGGGGCAGCTGGGACATAGCACGTATCTTTGCGCGGTCTCTTGGGCCGCGAATCTCTGACTTTGCGCAGGCGCAGTGCGAGTGGAGCCTCCACGCGTGCTGCCTGGAGGAGATTTGCTCGCAAGTGGCGGCGACGGTGTTGCCAATTGCGTGCCTGGTTGATGCTATCCACTTTTTCCTTGACCAGACCCGGCAGGTGCTGCGCGACTGCATCGTGCGAGATCGCATCAGTAAAGTTGAGGACATGGCGCGGGAAATGATGAGTAGTCGTGAGAGCGGAGACGCTAACAATGAGTGGCAGAAGGCCAAGAGGGCCATCGCCACTGGAGGTTTCGAGCCGGCTCGGTATAAGGGGGCGAATAGTTTGCCTATCTATCGGGATGGCCAGGGCAAGGTCCTTCGAGGGCCCCAGGAGTGGGACGAGGAGCTTCTGAGGCACTTCTCTGATATTGAGGGGGCCCGCAGGGTGCAATTCCAGTAGCTTCAGGACATCTACGATAAGACGGCTCGTAGGATGAGTACCGACTTTCAAGCGGCGATTGAGAATGCCCCCGCCCGCGAGTGGCTCGCTGGGGCCATCCAAGGGGCCCCCAAGAGGAAGGCCGTGCCCAACAGGCTCTCGGTCGACGTGCTGGCCGCAGCCCCAGAGGCTGTAGCTCGGCACATCCAACCCTTGTTACTTAGGTAAGTCTTACGGGGTTTGAGCCGCCGCCCTGGAAGGGGACCCAGTCGCGCGGGCTGTTCAAAGGCAAGGGGGACTGGGGGGTGGCCAAGCACTTCAGGTTTACCACCCTGACCACTGCCGTGCCCAAGTTCCACTATGCTTTCCTCAGACAGTGCTTGAACGCCTTCATTGAGAGTCTGCTCAAAGACTCCCAGACTGGCGGTCGGAAAGGGAGAGGAACTGCGCTGTCCACCCACGCGAAGTTGGCTTTCTTGCATCAGGCGCAGGCTGAGAAGTTCACGGCGGTGCTGCCGCGAGTGGACGTGGTCAGCGCGTTTTATTGCATGATTCGGCAGTTCATTGTTGATCTGCCCACGGATGAGGGGAGAGGAGGAGCATCATTGAGTCGGTCCCTCTCAAAGAGTGGATGAGACCAGCCCTCGAGCAGACGACGCAGTCGCCGTGCATCCTTGAGGGGAACCCCCCACCTCAGTCGGCTGCTGAGCGAGAGCCAGAGAGCGACGTGGTTTCGGGTCGGCGAAGCATGTTGTGCCGCTGCCACGACCAAAGGCCCTAGGCCAGGCACTGCGCTTGCCGATTTGTTCTACAACACCCTTTTCGCCAGGACCCTGCACAATATCGAAAAGGATTAAAGCGAGAAGGGTCATTTGTATGAATTGAAGGGAGCCCAGGTCTGCATCCTGGCTGAGTCGGGGGACGAGCCCCCCCTGGCTGACACTGCTTATGCTGATGATGCTAACTTCCCCGTGATGTGTAGGAGCAACTATGATGTGTTGTGGGTCGTGCGAACGGTGTTCTCGGTTATTGTCGCGCGCATGGCCCAAGATGGCCTTGTCATCAGTTTCGTGGCGGTAAAATCGCAAGTGATGATCCAGGTCAACGGCAGAGACAAAGCGAGGTGCAAGCGCTTGTTGTCGGTTGAGTTGCAAGGCCAGATTTACACCCCAAGCTTGCAGGAGACGGTTGGGATGGTGGCCACGCACAAGTCCCTCGGGACGTTGCTGGCTGCGGACGGGTCGATAGGGCCGGAGGTGGCCTATAGATGTGGCACTGCCAGAACCATCACGGGAGCGATGTCTAGAACCGTTTTCAAAGTGAGAGGGGTCTCTCTGGCGGCTAAGTTGCAGTACCATGCGGCTCTCATCGAGTCTAAAATTATACATGACGCGGAGACGTGGGGACAGTTGAGTGAGAAAAGCAAGCAACAATTGGAGTCGGCTTACTACGGGTCCCTGAGACGTGCCGTTAAGTGTCAGAGGCGGCAGGATACCGTGTCGGACGCCGAGGTTTTGCTCACGTGCCAGCGGGCACCTCCTGGGCGACTGATGGCGTACAGGAGACTCAAGTACCTCGTGCGTCTGCTTCGGTACGCCCCGCGTCAGCTTCTTTCGTTGCTCGACAGGCAGTGGGATGTCCGCGGCTCGCGGCCACAACTGATAAAAGATGACATCGCGTGGATGAGAAGGCATGCGGGGGAGGAGGCCACTCGAGTGTTGGGGGATTATGTGGAAGCCGCGGTGGAAGTTGCCAGGAGCGGACCTGACTTCTTCCTCACCTGCCTCCGCTCGGCCTGGAGGAGCTCGCTTGCCTGGGAGCGAGACCAGCTGAGACTCACGGAGTGGCGCAGGGCGCTCGCGGCGGAAGCTGAAGGCGGAAGTTTGCCCCCCCCTTTTGCGAAGGTCAAGTCCCCTGGAGGCTATGTGTGCTATGAATGCGGCTACGCCGCCCAAAGCAAAACCGGGTGGCCCACCCTGAGCTCGGGCAGGTTAATCGGTTTCTGTTCGGATCGTGTTGCCCCGTCTGCGGATGGGAATTTCACACTAGGATGAGACTCCGCAAGCATTTGCGAAACAGAAGTGCGAGGTGTCTCACGGCGATTCGGGCGTTTTTTAAACCCATCGGGGAGGAGCAGGTTCTGGAGCTTCAGAAGCTTGACGCGCAGGAGAGCAAGGATCTTCGGCAACGAGGCCTCTACCAGGAGAAGGCCCTGATCCCCGCCGTGAGGTCGGCGACCCCACTGATCCCGCCCCAGGACCCTGAGATGTGCGACCCCGTCGAGCCCCCCAGCGTCGTGGAGGTTCAGCAGGATGCCCAGGCTCTTTTAGGACGGCCAGAGCGTAGTAGGTTCCAGTACTACTTTATCCTGCACTTGTTCTCGGGTAGGCGTCGGATGGGGGACCTGCAGGATTGGATCGAGCATTTCCAGACCCAGGCCCCCCAGGACAGGCCCGTCTGGACCCTGAGCCTGGATGTGGCCAGCGCGCCAGTGCTGGGTGATCTCAGCGTCGAGGATACCATCGAGCACTGGCTGAAACTTGCGCGGGCGTTCATGGTTGTCGGTTTGCTCGGGGGTCCCCCGTGTGAGACTTGGAGCGCGGCCAGGTTCAACAGTCTGGCCAACGGAAGGGGTCCCAGGCCGGTGAGATCCGGGGAGCTCCCTTGGGGCATTGAATGCCTCACTAGTAAGGAAAGGAGACAAGTGGACCTCGGCAATGTTTTGCTGAGAACCATGTGTAAATGCTTGGTGGCGTGCGCGGGGCACGACACCCCCGCTATCATGGAACACCCGGCCGAGGCCCACTGGCGAACGCAGGCTCCCTCGTCGTGGTTGCTGGACAAGGTTCGATATATCCTGTCGTTGCCAGGAGCCGAGAAGGTGACGGTTGCTCAGTGCCTTTACGGATGTGAGTATGAGAAGCCTACTACGTTTCTGACCATCCACCTTCCCTCTCTGGGGATAAAGGTCAGCGAAGGGCCTGGGGGGGGAGGTGCAACCATCCTGGTCGGCATCGTCAGGCCCTGGGCCGTGGGGAGCAGGGGGAGTTCCGAACAACTGCGTTGAAGGAATACCCCGCTGAGCTGTGCAATTTGCTGGCTCGATGTATGTGGGAAGGGGTTGAGGCCAGGACGAGGGTCGGCCCTAGGACTTGGGAGGTCCCTCAAGAGGCTCTCGGGTTTTATATTCCCCTTGACCCATACTGTGAGTTCGAGCGCAAGCATGACTGTGCCCGAAAGTGGGGCAGAGGTGACAGCTCCTGCGAATCTAACAGCGACCGCTAAACGGCGGCGGCGGGTGTGAGGAGGCCCCGCTTCGCGCCGTGGCGCGAGCCGCCGCCCGCCCGCACAATATCGTCTTGCAAGCTGTATTCGATACGCTTCGAACATTCCTCATGCTGGAAACCGTAGAAACCGTAGGAGGATGAGGAGGAGAAGGAGGAGGCGGACGAGGCGAGGAGGAGGCGAGGAGGAGAAGGAGGAGAAGGAGGAGGAGGAGGAGGAGGAGGGCGAGGAGGAGGAAGAGGAGGAGGAGGAGGAGGAGGCGAGGGGAGGAGAGGAGGAGGAGGAGGAGGGCGAGGGCAGGAGGAGGAGGAGGAGGAGGAGGGGGAGAAGGAGGAGGAGGAGGAGGAGGAGTGAAGGAGGCGGAGGAGGGGGATGCGGAGAGCGAGGAGGAGGAGGAGGAAGCGGAGGAGGAGGAGGAGGAGGAGGAGGAGGAGGAGGAGGAAGCGGAGGAGGAGGAGGAAGCGGAGGAGGAAGAGGAGGAGGAAGAGAATGAGGAGGGCGAGGAGGAGGACGAGGAAGAGGAGTAGGAGGAGGGCGAGAAGGAACAGGAGGAGGGAGAAGAAGGAAGAGGGAGGAGGACGTGAGGAGGAGGAGAAGGATGAGGAGGAGGGAGGAGGAGGGCGAGGAGGAGGGCGAGGAGGAGGGCGAGGAGGAGGGCGAGGAGGAGGAGGAGGAAGAGGAGGAGGCGGAATAGGGAGAGGAGGAGGGCGAGGAGGAAGGCGAGGAGGAGGAGGAGGAGAAAGAGGAAGAGGAAGAGCAAGAGAACCAGGAGGTGGGCGAAGAGGGCGAGGAGGAGGAGGAAGAGGAGAAGGAGAACGAAGAGGAGCAGAGGAGGGCGAGGAGGAGGAGGAGGAAGAGGAATAGGAGGAGGAGGATGAGGAGGAGGAGGGGAGAGGAGGAGGAGGAGAGGAGGAGCAGGAGGGGGAAGAAGGAGGAGGAGATGGAGGAGAAGGAGGAGGAGGAGGAGGAGGAGGAGGAGGAGGAGGGGGAGGGCGATGATGAGGAGGAGGAGGAGAAGGAGGAGGAGGAGGAGGAGGAGGAGGAGGACGGGGAAGGGGAGGAGGAGGAGGAGGAGGAGGAGGAGGAAGAGCGAGGAAGTGGAGCGGAAGCGAGGGGGGATCGAGGAAAACAAAGGAGCGGCGCCCGCCTCTGCAGGCCCGCCTTCTTCTTGAGCAGGCGGTTGTAGACGGCGGTGTCCTTGGGGTACTTCTTCAGCTTCGCATCGACCTCGCGGGCGGGGGGCCCGGCCTCGGGCCAGCCTCACGCGACCGACAACTGCCGCGACTCCCTGGACAGTCTCCCGAGGCGAATCCAGCGGTGGCTCACGGGGGCGCCCCAGGAGACCCCAAAAGGGAAAAACGGGCGAAGGGTAGCGGCACGGGCAGTGATTCCTCATGTGAACCTCTGGCCGCCCACGCGTGAGCCCTGCATTGTGGAGGAGGAGGAAGAGGAGGAGGAAGAGGAGGAGGAGGAGGAGGAGGAGGAGTAGGAGGAGGAGGAGGAGGACGAATTCTGCACACATCCACGGCTCCCCAGGCCCACCCTCAGTCCAGCACTGGTGTATACACCGGGCCCTCCTGGCTCGGCCAGGAGGGCGTATGCACAGCTCCCGGGTTCAGGGATGGGCCTGGCCAGGGAGCCGTGGATATGTGCGGACTTCGTCCTCCCCCTCCTCATCCTCCCTCATCTCCACCTCCTCCTCCTCATCCTCACTCCTTCCTCCTCCTCTCTCACTATTACTCATATGACATACTACCTTCTCCCCCTCTTCCCCTGATGAGTCTTTTGCGTATTCGCCCCCCCCCCCGCGTATGTTTTCTTACTACCACACCACACACGATTCCCTGGAGTTGGGGTTTTCGCTGCGTTTTTTTTTCCAAATGCTGCTCTCGTGAGGCGCTTGGGGCCTCATTTCTGCTCACGAATCGTCCGAATCGTGCTCCCGCTGCAGCGTGGCCTCATTTTCGGATCGGTGTTTTGCCTCCGTCGTTCAGGATGGCGTTCTCGCCCCAACGCGGGCCTCTTTCTCGCGCGCCCATCCGCCCGCCACCACCGCGCCGCACCACGCCCCGCCCCGCCGCACGCACACCCACCGCCACTTCCACCCACCAACGCACGCACGCACGCACGCGCACCACCACCGGGCACCGCCACCACCACCGCACTACCCCACCCACCACCACCACGCTACACCGCGTCACACCACATCACACGCGCGCACACACAGACACGCTCGCACGCACGCACGCACGCACGCACGCACGCACGCACCGCACGGCACGCACGCTCGCACGCAGCACGCACGCACGCACGCACGCACGCACGCACGCACGCACACACACACACACACTCACACCACATACTCAACAACACACAACACACACACACACACACAACACACGCACGCACGCACGCACGCACGCCACACACTCACACACTCACACACCAACCACACCCACCGCCACCACCACCACCACACCACGCCCATCACGCAAGTACGCACCTGGCCACCAACAAACCACCAAGACGCCACACCACGTAACATAGCACACGCGCACACACGCAACGCACCGCCCCCCTCACACACACACCACACACCACACCACACACGATATATATTATATATATATATATATATATATATATTATAATATTATATATATCATATATATTATATATATATATATACACACATACATAACACACAACCACAACCACAACCACAACCACGCACACACGCACGCACGCACGCACGCACGCACGCACGCACGCGCACCACCACCCACTACGCACGCGCGCGCGGAGCCACAGGTCCGCTACGACACGCGTCCGCGGATAGAGAAACTCAGCGCCATGGTAAGGGATGGGAGGGAGGGGTAGGACGTCAGATACGACGCGAGCGCACCTAAATGTCCTCTTCCTACTTCCTCTCCTTCCTCCCCCCTCCTCCTCCTTCCTCCCTTTCCCTCTCCTCCTCCTCAAACCTCCTCCTCCTCCGCCTCCTCCTCCTCCTCCTCCTCCTCCTCCTCCTCCTCCTCCTCCTCCTCCTCCTCCTCCTCTTCCTCCCCCTCCTCTTCGTCGCCCGATGCACCCGCCCGCACGCCAGAGGGGGGGGGGCGCAACCCCTGCTTTGCTCGGACCTCGGCTGGGCCGCGCCTCGCACGGGCAAGGCAGCCCCCAGGAACTGCTCACGAGCGCGGCGGCGGCTGCGCGGGTGGCAGCGCCCAGGGAGGCGAGGCCCGGTGAAACCAACAGGTCGGCCCGTGAACGGGCGGGGCACGATGTTGGATCCTCGACCCTCGGTCCTCGATCACGAGGAAGGGGGCGATCCTCGATCCTCGATCCTCGATCGATCGATCCTCCACCCTCGATCCTCGAAGACGAAGATAACCCGTTCCAGAGCGCTCCGGAACGCTCCCAAAGAGTGTACGGAACGCTATGAGAAGGCCCGCGGGCCAAGGCCGCGGCGCCCAGAAGATCGAGGTCGGTTCGAGGGGGGTACTCTAATGTTTTCGTGTTTGCTGAATGTTCGTGTGCATCCTGGGGAAGGCGAAGCGAGGCGAGCGCGCGAGTTCGGTCCGGCGGGACCGGCCCTCATAGGGCGGCGCGGGGGGGCTGGGGCCCTCAGGAGACGTGTTGGGGGCAGGAGTCGGAGCCGGAGCCGGAGTCGGAGAGATGGACGGGAACCTGAATCGGAAAGGTGTGAACAGGAATCGGAGAAACGACCAGTGTGGGCAGAACACGTAACTCTGGAGTCGGGGAAGCATTCCAGATCCTATAGGTTGTAGTGGGTGTAGGCGTGTTGTTTTTTTTGAAATAAAAAACTTCTTGATCCCTCCATAACTGTTGACCAGCTGCAATTAGTAACCACTGGATGTTGTGTTCCTAATCGTCGCGGTCTTCACACATGCCCTTGGCGCGTAAGAAGTGCATGATGTCGTCTGCCCATCGCTTTCGTTGACCTCCGTGCCGCCGGTGCGCTGGGAGCGGGTCGTGTGAGCGTGGTTCCCATGAGGCAACTAAGAAAGTCCACCTGTCGCAATCGTGTGTCGCCACACGGGATGCCCACTTCCATTTCCGTTTGAAATAAAGAACAATCAATTATTCCACTTGGGTTCGGGAAGCATGGTCCGTGGTTTCGCGCGTGGCTCGTCGAACGTAGTCGGCCCATGGTTCCTTTCCGTCATCATTCCTCTCGTCGCTGTTGCTGGCTGTGTAGTTCGGGTTCTTTGCTGTGTCGGCGTCGGTCATGTTGTGGTGGCGGTCGTCGTC